TTTTTTTTTTTTTTTTTTTTAAATTTGTTGTGTAGGATTGTTCACTATTGTATGGTCATGTCGACAACCAATGTCCTACCGCTATCAGTTTACTTGCCAGGAAGTCATTCGATTATAGGCTTTTTATCATGTAACATGAAACCAACAGTGTTCTTGAACTAGTTTTATCCATGTAGCTCTTCTTCAAGACCTTGATGCCTAGCAAAGTCTGTGTGATTCCTTGTAGATGACCATTATCCTTGAGATATTGATGCAGTAAACCTCATAGTCCAAAACCTTTTTACAAAATTGGCACCACCAAGACCATACTATTTAGTATAATTTATGACAGTTTTAATTTTCCTGCATATATTTGATGAATATTAGAAGATTCGAAGTATCTACATGTTAAACCTGATATATAGGTGTTCAATGAGTCCCTTGGTCAAAGGAGACTCAAATATTGCTGTTATTCATGTGATCTTAAGACTGCTAAGAACTCTTCAAATGTAATAAAGTCGGCCAAATGATGAGAAATATGTATATGGCCTGACACTGGCTGCTTTAATAATTTATTTATTCAATCTTCTTTATGTTGGTATGTCCTGAAAATTAGTTTAAAGAAATAAATTTCTCGTTCGCGCTTGGCAGATTGCTTTCTTTCTTTTTTATTCTTCCCATAGCTGTAGTTTGGGATTAAAATGTCTTATTATGTCTTATCAACATTCTTGGTGTGGACGATCACTTCCGCTCGTACTTTAATTGGTCAAACGATATGGGATCTAGAATCAGTTTTGAAACTCAGTCCATGAAATCATTTTCAGAGTTTTACTTTTACCTTTTGGGAGCCTGCTTTGTGTTTATGTGTAATATGTTTCAAGCATGTGCATTCTTTATTGACATGTTGTGGAAAGAAAGGCTTTGTCCTTGCTTGTATTTTGTTGTGCATAATTGGCAAATATTTCTCATTTAGTTTGTTGAGTGCCATACTTTGATTTTGCTGTGCTTCGAAATTACAGTGGTCCCTGTGTCTCGTATATGCTCCGCAAAAGAGCTCTGTACAATGACATGTCCAGGTAACTAAAATTCTCTCGTCTTCTTATTTGTGATCCGAGTGACTTCTTGGTTTCCTGAATGGTTGCTGTTGTTTGAAATAG